ACTCATTTTAACCGAAACGCACGAGAAAATTTGCATGTTATGGTTCCCACTACGCGCTGCCACCTCGCCACCGAATGGGGTAAGGTGCTCATTACAGATGTTGCACTTGACTTGAAGCTCTTCGATACTTCGTATGTTACAATGGTGGTTTTATTGGTAAGAATCATCCAGTTTAACTATCCCGGTACCCCCGTTTTACTTCCGGGCGCCCTACCTGACGGGGGAGCAGTGCAGGCAGGGGAGCGCCGCGCGGCGATGCCCCGTCTCCTCGCCCGCCAGGGCACGGCGCGACCAGTCGACCGGAAACAATACCATTTGGCGATCCAATCGGCCTCTACTCTGCACCGGGGCGTGGGGTGGCGAGGCGGGCCGGAGGGGTGGCGTGGCGTGGGGCGATGCACCGCGCGCCGAGGGCGGCCGAGGGACGCGGAACGACGTGTTCATCGGGTATGGGCCCAGGACGGCGACGAGCACCTTGGCGTCGCGCGGCGTGTCGCGGCCGGCGCAGGCGCCGTGTTGTGGGAGGACGGCGCAGCGCGGCGCAGCGGCCGAGCCGCCGAGGCCGGAGCGGAGGGCGGTGGGGGAGGGCGCGGAGAGGTGGGGGCGGCGCTCTGTGGCCCGGGGTATCGCCGGCGCAGAGTTGGGCCCCAGTACGTCGCTGGCTTGCCGGCATCTGAGTCGCAGCTGGGTCCTGCTACTTCTACTCCTCCGCGAGCTCCGCGATCGTGCGCTCGCGCCGCGTGGTGTTGTCTCTCTGTGTGTGTAAGTGTGTGTGTGTGCTCGGCTCGGCAAGGGGCGGCGCTTTGACAGAGGTGCGTTGCTGAGCCCATCACTGTCTGCTGCTGTGCTCCGCTGTGTACTCCAGTGTTCTGCCGTACCGCTGTGTACTGCTGTACCGTGCCCTCCCCGCCTGGGGTAGCTTGCGCGTCGACCGTCTCTGCTGTGCCGACTGTGTGAAGCGTGTGGTGTGCCTGCTTCTGACTTCACCCTCTCCCGACGACGAAAAGGTGAGCCTCTTCTACTTTAGCTGTCAGTTTGCCGATGATATACATCATCGATGGCGTTATACACAGCCCGCCCCCGTCGGCTGTGCAGTGCACCC